ATGATTAGGCAAAGTTGGCACAACTATGGACAACATACAGTGTTACCAGTGGGTAAACTGCTCCTGACCTGACTTCTGTTTGTTCATGCTCTTATGGCGCCCTCTAGTGGCATTATAAATCACGCTCCTAGACACTCCGGCTCAGTCTGCAAGCCTCTCGCTGAATGTAGTTGATTAGTCAGGTTTTGAGGCACAAGTTGACGCTCATGGTTCTTCCTCTTGCCTCATATTCCTCTGACTCTGAAGTGAGTTTAAAGTGTAAAGCGCTTTGTTTACATCAGTACACCTTTTCTTGTAGTAAACGTCACAGCAGGGCCTCAAACAACCCGTTTGAAAACTTGTTTGCAGACTTGATCTTCACAGTGCAAATCCTATAAAGGGTTGAGAGGTATGATTATTAGTGAGGTGATTAATGAAATCATCACTTTTTAATCATCACTATTTTTATAGTGTAAGATGCTTAATTTCACACTTACCAAATGGAGTTTGTCGTCCTCGATCCAGTGTGCCCAACCTCGGTTCTTCTTCTCACCTTTTTGAATGCACACCAACTTGTTCCCCTCCCATGCCACCAGAGACTAGAGAAATCGATTTATGTTTCATTTAAAACATAAAACATCCATTTTGTCTTTTCAGAAAATATTTGCAGTCCAACAGCCTAAAGGGCTGTCAGTGTTCTTGTGCCGTAAGACTGTCAGTTTTCTTCTATGAAATGTTTTATTAAATGTCATGGAAATAAAAGAATCAATAAAGTAACATTTCATTTTACCTTGTCACACGTTACATGTACTTACTTAACAGTAAATTATGTGTTGCAATACAATGATAAAACTTTTGTAGTACCTTGCAGTGTCTGTCATCCAGTCCCTTGGTGAACTCTTGAAACTCCTCATTGACTCTGAAAGAGAAAGTGTAGTTTCTGATGGTGCTGAGAGTCTTGACGACATATCGTTCCCCCACCTGCTCGATCACTTTACGATGTTTTAGCTTCAAGGCGATCTTGCGGGTGTACAGACTTATCCCTGTGAGAAGATAAAGTTTAGGATCTATTACTCCTGACATACATTAAAAACAAATGGAATGGTTTACACACTATAATATAATATAATATAATAAACATGCAATAAGAAAAAATAACTATAAGCTATATGTCAATTTTAGCAACAGAATTAAGAACAATTATCTATTTCAACTAGAAAAAGAATGCTTACCTAAAGCAGTCATGTATCCCTCAAAGTTGACATTGCTCACCATGTCCCATGAACCACAGAGGCTTACAGGCATTTTGTTAACCTTCTGCAAATTATTCCAGTAGAAAACCAGGTGCAAGGTGTGAGTGTGACAGCCAGAAGGATTCCCAGCACTTATATGTGTTGTGAGCTGAGTGGGCGGTCCCTCGTGTTCTACGTATTCTAATTTGCACGTCGTACACTCTTCAAAGGTCATGCCTTACGTAAAGTAAAACGTGTCTGACAGGTCTTTGTGTGTAAATAGTTTGCCAAAACACACACGTTAACACAATAC